CACTGCACTCCAGCCTCAGTGACAGAGCCAGACTGTCTCAAAAACCAAAAAAAAATAGGTGTGGTGGTAGATGCCTGTAATTCCAGCTACTCAGGTGGCTGAGGTAGAAGAATCACTTGAACCCGGGAGGTGTAGGTTGCAGTGAGTCAAGATCATGCCACTGCACTCCAGCTTGGGCAACTGAGTGAGACTGTCTCCAAACAAATAAATAAAAATAAAATGTCAACATCAGTGGCTCTTTGTATACTCACAGAATGGTGCATCTATCACCACAATCAATTTTAGAACATTTTGATTTCCCCAAAAAGAAACCCTGTTATCCTTAGTCATCACCCCTCCCAATTATTCCTTCCACCACCAGCACTAGGTAACCAATAATCTGCTCCTTGTCTCTCTGGATTTTCTCATCTGGACATTTCATATAAATGGGATGATACCGTATGTAGCCCTTGGTAGCTGGCTGCTTGGACTTGGCATAAAGTGTCAGACTCACCCATATGTGGCTCATGTCTGTGCTTCATTCCTTTTCATTGCCTTATTGCCCAAGTGGTGTCATAAGCTCTGCAGATGAACTGTGAAAAGTTAGGGTGTGTATTGTAATCCCTAGAACAACAGCTAAAGAAAGCATATATAGCTAAAAACATAGAGCAAAAAGATACAGCCAAAACAACACTAGAGATGAAACGATAAATGAAGAATCACTCCATTCATCCAAAAGAAGGCAGGAAAGGAGGAACAAAAAACAGAGAATAGGCCAGGTATGTTGGCTCACTACTTTAAAAAAAAAAAAAAATTAGCCAGGCACAGTGGTGCACACCTGTAATCCCAGCTACGTGGGAGGCCTAGGTAGGAGAATCCCTTGAATCCGGGAGGTGGAGGTTGCAGTGAGCCGAGATCACGCCACTGCATTCCAGCCTGGGTGACAGAGCAAGACTGTCTCAAAAAGAAAAAAAAAGAACACAAATGACATAAGTTAGAAATTGCATTGAACTGTAAGTGAACTAAACACTCCAAGTTTAAGTGAGATAGTAAGACTGAATTTTAAGAAACACAAACAAAAACATGACCCACCCATATAATGTGTAGAAGAGGTACCTTTTAAATACGAAAACAACAGGATGAAAAAAGATATCTATGTAAACATTAGTTATAAGAAAGCTCTATTAACATTAGACAAATAGATAAGTAATATGAGGGCTTCCTACTTCTTTGATGGAACAATTAAAAACTGTGAATATAAAGTTTGGTGCAGTGTCTTATGCCTGTAATCCCAGCACTTTGGGAGGCCGAGGTGGGCAGATCACCTGAGGTCAGGAGTTCAAGACAAGCCTGGCCAACATGGGGAAACCCTGTCTCTACTAAAAATACAAAAATTAGCCAGGCAGGATGGTGAGTGCCTTTAATCCCAGCTACTTGAGAGCGTGAGGTGGGAGAATGGCTTCAATATGGGAGGTACAGGTTACAGTGAACCGAGATTGCACCATATACTCCAGCCTGGATGACAGAGCAAGACACAGTCTCAAAAACCAACAAACAAATACCAGAGGATGGTACACTTTAAACTTCTGCATTTTGTGGCATGTGAATTACATGTCAATCTCTTAAACGGCTGGTAGGGGAAGGAAGGCACGGCAAATGATATTTTGGTTTTGTAATTAAACAAGAGATTTCCTCCTTTCCCCCCCCAAAAAAGTCCTCTTTCAGTTTCTGCAAACTTCATCCTTCCCTCTCCTATCCATCCACCCAGAGGAACTTTTATCTGTTCCCACCCACCCAGATTAGAAGCCTTTGTCTTTTAATTTGAGGCTTGGTAGGTAAATTAGAGGTCCCAAGTCAAGAAAGAGAGGCATTCCAGAGCCCTGTTCCATCTGAGCCTCCCACACCCCATGACTCACTTTACCCCATAACATGTTTCCCTTTCAGTTTACCATCTGGGAAAAATAATAAACTTATTTTTCTTATTCACCAATAATTTATATAAACCAAACATTGCAAACAAGGGTGTCCTTAGCAACCTGGTAGATCTCATTCTCTTCAAATAACAATTGCTCTCCTGTAAAGGGATAGTTCTTTTCCAGGCAACATAAATTCACTTGGAAATCTCACTTAAAACAGAAAAGTTAAGGTCTTCAAAGCTTTGCTGGGAGCAAAGCATTTGCAGGAATGCATGGGGCTGAAGGTCAAAGGCAAAGGAAACAAGGCATAAATTATTTTGACCTCATTTCATTTGTCCTTGTATACCCACACTGGTTAGTGATTAGTAAGGTCACATGACAGTGACAAAACTCTGCTTTGGAATTTTTTTTTTTTTTTTTTTTTTGAGACAGAGTCTTGTTCTGTGGCCCTGGCAGGAGTGGTGCAGTGGCATGATCTCAGGTCACTGCAATCTCCGTCTCATTGGTTAAAAAGATTCTTCTGCCTCAGCCTCCTGAGTAGCTGGGATTACAGGCACCTATCATTATGCCTGGCTAATTTTTGTGTTTTTAGTACAGGTGGGGTTTCACCATGTTGTCCAAACTGGTCTCAAACTCTCACAGGAGAAATGCCATGTGATCCACACACCGTGACCTCCCAAAGTGCTGGGATTATAGGCATGAGCCACTTCGCCTGGCCGGGTCAATTTTCTCTAATGGAAGTAACAAAACAGGCATAATCCAAAAATCACAGATATATAAAAAATTTTAAAACACTGTTGGAGGCCAGGTGCTGTGCTCATGAGTGTAATCTGAACACCTTGGGAGGCCAAGGCAGGAGGATCACTTGAGGCCAAGAGTTCAAGACCATCCTGGCCAACACAGTGAGACCTCATTATCTACAAAACATAATGATACTGGAAAATGCTAACTTGGGTAGTGACAGTTTCAATGCATCATTACCTGGCCCTCTGAGTTTTGCTCTGAACCTTGTGACAGATGATTAAATCATGTGTTCAAGCTCAGGGACTTACTGTTGTATAGAGATGATGCTCCCTGGAGCACCCCGCTCCAATCCCCCTCCCTTCAACTTGTCCCAGTGTATCATATT